TATATATATATATATATATATATATATATATATATATATATATATATATATATATATATATATATATACATACAGACATCAATGTAATCAAGTATTGTGTTAATGAAGATATTATCTTTCTTCTCTTCTGATCTAATAATTCTGCACCTACATTAGATATTTATTTTTCCTTCTTTCACACCCAACAAACTAATAATAATAATAATAATAATAATAATAATAATAATAATAATAACAACAACAACAATAACAACAATAACAACAATAACAATAATAACAACAATAATAATAATAATAATAATAATAACAATAATAATAATAATAATAATAATAATAATAATAATAATAGATGCAAGGATTTTCTTTTTGTTTATTAAAGCAAGAAGATTTATAACTAATTATATAAAAATAAATAAATACCATAATTGATTAATCAAAAGTTTGAATTAACTACCACTGTTACTTACATGTGGTTGATCAAATGCTTGCATAGATACGTCAAGCTGTAAAATGGGTAAAACACAAAATTAACAGGATGGACAAAACATGGGGGCAAATTCACATTTTAATCAAAATTTATTTTTAAAATAATATTATATTTCTAAATTCAAACTTAAAAATCCAACAATATTATTTCTTAAACCAGTGAGGTAATTAGATAGACTGCATAAGAGAACAGAAGGGCAATTGCAAGTGATGGTTTTATTGGGACCGGGTCCACCATAAACCGTGTATAGAGGTACAGAATGTGACAAATTATTTCATGCATCGCGGTGCATAATGGATTATGCACCGAGCTTCTAAATGACGTCGTTTTGTTTAATGAAAAGAAACGATACCCGTTTCGTACCGTTCCGCAAAAAGTAACTCTGTTATTCAGTTTCATTTTGTATACACTGCAGTTTCATTTCAATACAACTACAGTTTCAATTCGATATAACTACAGTTGCATTCGATATTTATACGCTCAAATATGTGAAAATGTTATTTAATTTTATTTTATATACACTATAGTTTCATTAAAATACAACTACATTATCATTTCGATATAACTACAGTTTCATTGCACAATATACAGTAAAATATGTGAAATGTTATTCAATTTCATTTTTATACACTGTAGTTTAATTTCAACACAACTATAGTTTCATTTCAATGCAATTGCAGTTTCATTTGATAATATAAATATAATACGCAAGGCAGTGTTAGTTTAAAAAGGTAATTAATACACCAAACATGCGCGCTCTGATAATTGTAATGGCACGCTGTTTCTTTACATAAAAAATGGCATCATTTTAGGGCCGCGTTCCATAAAGCTTTGTGGACCGCGGTCCACCGTATAATTTCTGACAGAACCCCGGGGGGGGGGGGGGGGGGGGGGGGGGGAGGGGGGTTAAGAAAATAGTAGCTTCATTACTCGGGGTGCTAGGGCCAACCAAAACAACGGCCCAAAGAATACATAAATAATAAATACTATACCCATAAAATCACAACTAAACAAGCTAAGGGAGCTAATAAATAAAATAAAATTAAATATGTTACCAATAGGACTCAAACCCTACTGTGCCAACAAGAGGTTGAAAACCTAGACCAACTAACCAGGGGAAGGTTGGTGAACCAATGGATGCCTTTAAAAGGGAGGGAATGGAGTCTATTTATATTGTTGAAGGATTCATTGACAAATGGATGGCATCTGGTAGCCTTCATTCTGGGCCACACACGTGTTCCGCCCCACTACTTTGCTTCCACCGCACTCTCATGCATAAGTGGAGCTTCCTACCCTTTAACATATAATATTTTAATTGGTGTGGTGGTTTGTAACTTGTGTTATTGTGCTTGAGGTTATTGGTTTGATACCCCTTAGTAACAATTTTTATAATATTTTGCTCCAAGCCTCCTTCTTCCCTTAGCCCAATAGATTTCCATTATTCTTATTGGGCCACTACCTCACCCATATAGATGGACACCCTGCTTGGAGAGTTGCAAAGACTTTGCCAATAAAATAGACCACCAGGACTTATGCTATGCATCCGTATGCACCATGCATGGTGCATACGGATGCAAAAACGACGTCGTTTTATTAAAAACGCGCATCCCACTTAAAAAAATCAGTTTCGATTCCCCTCAACAGCATTATGTTTTTCATTCATTCTGGAATTATAGTTCATAGATTCTGGAATTTTAGTTCATAGATTCTGGAATTTTAGTTTATTGATTATGAATATTTAGACGTGAATCGAAACTGATTTTTTTTTCATTCATGCTGGATATTTAATTCTATCAGTATGGATATTTAGTTCAATCAATATGGATATTTAGTTCATTCATTATGGATTTTTAGTTCATTCATTCTGGAATTTTAGTTCATAGATTCTGGAATTTTAGTTCATAGATTCTGGAATTTTAGTTCATATATTCTGGAATTTTAGTTCATATATTCTGGAATTTTAGTTCATCGATTCTGGGATTTTAGTTGTTTTTAATAAAACGACATCGTTTTTGCATCCGTATGCACCATGCATGGTGCATACGAATGCACAGCATAATTTTCCATCCCATATCCCCATCAGCAAGATTCATGCGACACTTGGGCAGTTGGGCAGTTGGCAATTAACATTATTTGACTTATTCCTTAATTATGGGTTAAATCAATTTCTATTTTCCTCAATTTTTTATTTTATTTTTAAAAAAAGTTCTTATAATTTTAATTTTATTTTTGGAAATTTAATTGAACTTTTGATGTAATAATTTAAATTACAAAGGAAGTAAAATCACACACTCTCTCTTTGTATTTTTGTTTGTTAGATACAAAAAAAAAAAAAGGATAAATACCTCATTTAGACCTTTGACTATATTGTTTTATCTATTTTTGTTGTATAGTTTGAATATCCCATCTAGAATCTACGCTAAAAGATGATATGCAATGCAAGTTTGTAATGCTATGTTCGGGTCTTTGGGGTTGCGGAAATGTCAGGGTTTGGAAGGGCATACCGTTTGTCAGTGATTCAGTCATTCATAGGCGAATTGGAAGGTGGTGAATACTGTGGGTAACGAGAACACGGGAATGCAATACATTTGACCAAATGGAAATTGCAAGCTGCACGAATAATGAAGATGAATACGGACGTTGCTTTTGATGTGGAGAATAATGTTATGGGTCTTGGTTGGATCTTGTGTGATGATGAAGGTCGCTTCTTTGTAGCTAAAGGTCTTCGTATCCCCGGTCAGTATAGTGTGTTGGAGGGGGAGGTGGTCTGTATTAGAAAAGCTCTTAGTTGGCTTAAAGATACGGGAATGGGGGATGTGGACGTTGAAATAGACTCGTAATTATATTTTTATGCTTTACATTCGAATTCTTTTTATTCTGCTTTTGGTTTTTTAGTAGACGATAGTAAAGTAGTTGCCTTTGTGATAAACGGGGTTGACTTTTGTTTTGTTAAGCGATCTGCGAATCGTGCTTCCCACACTCTTGCTCGGGAAGTCGTTTCTATGTTAGGTTGCGGGGAGTGGTTTGATAATCTTCTTCTTTGTCTTGTTGCTCTTCTTACTCCCGGTTTAATGAATTAATTTATTTTCCTCAAAAAAAAAAAATCAATTGGATATGCTATTAAAATAATATAATGTACTTTATATATTAGAATAATGAAACTTCTGGGGTGAAATAATATACTTTATGAAACGTACATTATGAGTTATATACTTTAACATACTTTAGAGTAATGTATATTATGAGTTATAAAAATTTATGTTGCAGTGGGTCGCGTGAAAAAAAAATTACGTGAAACGACCTTATTTTTGGAACTGTGTGGACCATGCATGGTCCACGCAATAACTATTGAGGTATATGATGGATTAGTCGCGATCAACGTAATTGCCTTCTTTTATTATATTGATATGTTTAACATACAATAATTCTTCCTTTCAATAAACTCATATATTTATAAATCAAGATAGCCCTTAATTAAATAAAATCTACCACTGAACTGACTCAATTCTTTATGGCTAATATTCTAGTGATATGATTCAAATTATTGTGTGGGCCACAGTCTAAAATGACATCGTTGAATTTTATGAGTTAGATTAATGTATATTGTGAATTATGAGTTAGAGCATCTCCATCTATGAATTTTGGAGAGGGTTTTGCATCTTTTTGATCCATATGGAGGAGAGAGAGCATTGGACAGAGAATTGTGAGGGCCTCAAGCAAGACCAAAGTTTTTTGTGGGTCCTGCAGAAAGAAAAAAGCTACTACCTTCGTGCCCGAAACGCGCACAATTAGTGCCTAGCTAGCTGGCGCGTTAACTCCATAGTTTTTTTTTTTCCCCCTCTTTTTTCTTCATCTTACTCCCCCCCCCCCCCCCCTCCCCCCACACTCATACTTGCCTTCCTAAAATATTGTGCAAAAAACAAACAATTGGAGAACCTCCGTCCCATTTTATGTGTCTGGTTCGATCAACGAGGCTTGACTAGAGTTATTTTTTAATTCAATTTTTCATAATATTAAGTATTTAAGTTTAGTATTAGTATACAAAAGTTATATATTTAGAAGCTACAGTAAAAGTACTATTAAACATAAAAATTCAAATTTAAAAATAAGTTTAAAATACTAAAGAAAATAAACAAAGAAGAAAGAGTTTTTTTTTTTGACCATTGAATAGTAAGTAGGACATGGGACAGATGGAGTATATGTTATGAAACCTACATTATGAGTTATATGCTTTAATATACTTTAGAGTAATGTATATTATGAGTGATAAAAATGTATGTTCCAGTGCGTCGCGTGAAAAAAAATTATGTGAAACTGATAAACTTAGCTAACTGGGTAGAAGCATGCCAAGTTGAAAGGAGAAAGAGGTCTATATTATTGAAGTAATATGTATGTAACAAAGCCAGAAGAAGGAAAACAACAAACTTATATGCTGGAAGCAAACAGAGAAGAAAACGGTTATAACAGCTATATTGGGTAAATGGCAACAATACCCTTCTAGTTATACTGGCTACTAGACTGTTGTCTTCTTGGAGAGTTGCTGCTGATTACTTGATGGTGGTTCCTTCATCAACCCCGTGTAAGCTGGAGCATGAACATCTTGAAGGCTCAGCTTAGTATGAAAGCTGTCAAACAATGGCTTAGATAAAGCCTTAGTGAAGCCATCCACAACCTGCTTGTTGGATGGAATGACCCGTAGCTTAATCACCCCCTCATGCACCTTTTGCCTAACAAAATGGAAATCGATCTCAATATGCTTGGTGCGTTCATGAAACACATAATTTTCACCTATTGCCACAACAGACTTATTATCACAGAACAAGGCAATAGGGCTGTCAAAACAGATCTTCAAATTTGCTAGCAAATATAGAAGCCATTGGATTTCACAAGTTGTGGAGGCCAATGCTCTATATTCAACCTCAGATGATGACCTTGATATTGTGGCTTGCTTCTTGGCTTTTCAAGAAATCAAAGATTGTCCAAGGTAAACACAGTAACCAGTGATGGATTTTCTGGTTTTTGGACAAGATGCCCAACCAGAATCAGAAAAGCCTTGCAACCTGATGTAAGAGTTTGAGGCCCTATGAGCTGCAACAAAGTGAGTGTTCCTAGGTTTATCCACAAATTAGCTTAACTGTTGAACAACAAAGGAGATATCAGGCCTTGTGTTTGTTAGATACAGAAGCTTGCCTACCATTCTTATAAACATTTCAGGTTTGTCTAGTAACTTTCCTTCCAGTGAGGCTAACCTTTGACCTGTATTAAGGGGTGTCCTTGCAGGCTTTGCATCTAGAACCATCAGCTTTATGCTTTATCTTATAGACCCATCTGCCTCCAATAGGTATTTTCCCTGGTGGCAAATCTGTTAGGGTCCAAGTGTTGTTCTCAACTAATGCCTCTATCTCAGTTTGCATGGCTTTTCTCCATTCCTCATGTTTCACAACTTCATTGTAGGATTGGAGCTCATGTGTGGAAGAAATAGAGAGAGTACAGAATTTATGACTAGGTTGCAAGTTATCATAAGAGATGAACTTATCTATTGAGTGAGTGGATGTCCTTAAAACTGAGTTTTCCTTGGATGTTGACTAACAACGGTAATCTTGTAACTTGGAGGGGATGTTCCTTATTCTTGATTATCTTCTTAGCTGAGTTTCAGGGACACATTCTTCTGTGGAACCATTACCAATAGTCTCTATTTCATTTCCTGAGTCTTCATTATTATCATTTCCCAAATCAACATTGATATCAATTTCTAATTCACCACTGTTCTCAGCATTGCCACTGTCAGCCTCAGCATTTCCTCTTCCTGTACTGCATAGTATATCCCTTGAGCTGGCACATTCATCTGTTGAAACAAGGGTGGGGCTGATATCTGTGGTAATAGAAATGAGGATAAGAGGTAATGTAGGACTGAACTTTTCAACAACAGGAAGATCGTTTAAGCTTGGTAATTTGAAGGGATAGACTTGTTAATAGAATTGAACATCCCTAGAGACAAAGATGGATTTATCAGCCATGTCATACATGTAGCCCTTTACATTTGCTGGAAACCCTATAAAAACACATTTCCTAGCCCTTGATTGCATCTTATTCCTTCCCTGTGAAATAGTTGCACCAAAACACAAGCATCCAAAAGATTTGAGCTGATCATAGTTTACTGCTTTCCCAAATAGTATCTCAAATGGTATTTTTTCAGCAATAGGCAATATGTTGATTAAAAAAGAAGAATGGAGAACACAGTGACCCCAAAATGTCATAGGTAAACCTGACTGGAACCTTAGTTCCCTTGCTACATTAAGTATATAATGATGTTTCCTTTCTGCCACCCCATTCTGCGGGGGTGTATGTACACATGATCTTGGATGCACAATGCCATTCTCATTTAAGAAAGCTGTCATCATAAATTCACCTCCATTGTCTATCCTTGCCACCTTTATCTTGGCAGAGAACTATGTATCCACATATGAGTAAAAATTCTGAAATATAGACTTTACCTCTGATTTGTGTTTCATCAAATGCAGCCAAGTAAACCTGCTATAATCATCAACAATTATAAAGAAATAGTGTTCTGCTTTAAGAGAGGCAGTGGAAAAAGGTCCCCACACATCCATGTGTATTAAATCAAAACATTTATCAACATTGGAAATATTAACAGGAAAAACAGTCTTCAATTCTTATGTTTGGCAAAGTGACAGGCATCACAAACAAACTCCGAAGACTTATAAGAAGGACAAAACTTTATTACATTCAGAGAATGAATTTTATTTATACGATAATGTCCTATTCTATTGTGCCATGTTTCTACAGACAGACTATTACACTGAACATTAGTACTACTATCGGAAGGAGGATTCCTTTTCTTGACAGGAGGATGAGTGATCAGGTACAACCCATTATCTTCTTTAGCAAAACCAGCCATCATCTCAAGATGTCCCTGAATGGTACAAGAATTAGCTCCCATAACAATTTCATAGCCTGATTGTTTTGCCAATTTGCTTGCAGATATAATATTAAATGCAAAAGAAGGAATGTATAACACATTCTGGAATAATACGTCAACTTGGAGTCTGATTTCTCCTATGTGTGTAGCAGCCACTGTTTCTCCATTTGGTAATTGAACAAAGATTCCATGGATCTTATGATAATCATCAAAGTATTCTAATGAGTAGTTATTATAATCAGTTGCTCTTGAATCTAATATCCAAATGGCAAATGAATTCAAAACAGCATTCTGTTAAAAAAATAATATATGTGGGTCAAATCCTAAGTCATCCACAACCTTCGACATTATTGTGCATGTCTTAATTTTTTGCATGCCTTCACGGATTTCTCTGGGACTCCACGTACTGCCGCCATTGCCGCAATGTAGCTCTACATGCTCTCACATTATGCTGCATTAGTCTCTCAATCTTTAGTATAAATGGCATTGTTTTCTTTGTAATTAGACACTTCAATTCAATATATTTTGAATTCATTCATTTGCTTTCTTTCATTCTTCTTCTTTCTTTGTCCCTCACATAGAATACATACATACATACATACATATATATATATATATATATATATATATATATATATATATATATATATATATATATGTTTTCCTTTACTCTTTTTGAGGTTAATATATATATTTCTATATTTCTCAATTCATCAATTTCTTATTTTGTCATTTAGATATTTTTCCTCTATTATTTAATTTCTATAATTCTCAATTTTTGATTCTTTGCTTCCGCATTATTTCGCTATATTCCTAACAAGTGGTATCAAAGCGGTTTAATTGAGAGTTATTTTCCAAGATGTCGACTGTTACCAAGTTCGATATCGAGAAGTTCGACGGGAAAATTAGCTTTTCTATCTGGAAGGTTTAGATGGAAGCCGTTCCAACCCAGAACGGTTTGAAGAAAGCTCTAGCTGGGAAGAAGAAGAAACCGGCTACAATGACAGATGAAGGTTGGGAAGATTTGGATGACAAGGCACGTTCAACCATTCTTTTGTGCCTGTCTAAAAAGGTTCTACGTGAGGAAGTAAGTGAGACGACTGCGTCAGATTTATGGTCCAAGTTGGATACGCTTTACATGGCCAAAACTGTGGCGAACACGCTACGCCTGAAGGAGCCTCTGTACTCAATCCGTATGACGGAAGGTACTTCTATTAAATCTTGGATAAATTCAATTCTATTTTATTGGACTTGGAAAATATTGATGTCGTAATTGACGATGAGGATCGTGCTGTTTTATTGCTTGTCTCTCTCCCTAGATCATACAAGCATTTCAAAGAAATTATGCTGTATGGTAATAGTAATGATACCCTTACTTTCGACAATGTTAAGTCAAACCTATTGTCCAAAGAAAAGTTTGACTTTGAAATTAAGTCTGAGGACAAAGATGAAGGCTTGACCGTAAGGGGTCGTTTACTTGAATCAGTGAGTAGCAATAAAAATTCTAGATCCAAGTCCAAAGGACATAAGTCTAACAAATCCTATAAGTACTGCAAGAAGCATGGTCATGATGTGACTGCATGCTCCAACTTGAAAAAGAAACAAGAGAGAGAAAATAAGTCCGCTGAAGCTAGTGTTGTTGAAAGTGATTCAGAAGGCGATGTTATGTTATCTGTTACCTCCAGTTGCAAACGGAGCGAAACCGAGTTGATTCTGGACTCTGGTTGTACATTCCACATTTGTCCTCACAAAGATTGATTCGTCTCTCTAGAACCGGTTGATGGTGGAGTTGTCTTGCTAGGTAATGATACCCAATGCAAGGTTAGTAGAATTAGAAGTGTGCAGATTAAAACTCATGATAACATTATCAGGACTCTTACCAATGTTCGGTATATTCCTGATTTGAAACGCTGGGGTGCAAGTACACAGCTGAAGGTGGAGTTCTAAATGTCATAAAAGGCTCTCTTGTTCTCTTGAAAGCTTCTCGTTCTTGAAGCTTGTACGTCTTGCATGGCACTACTGTGAAAGGTTCAGTAGCGGTATCCTCATCGATGTCTGATGCGGATCTCACTCAATTATGGCATATGCGTCTGGGGCATATGAGTGAGAAAGGCATGTATCTCCTGTGGAAGAAAGACCTCCTTGGTGGTTCAGGCACGGGTAAATTACAATTTTGTGAGCATTGTGTTTTTGGGAAACAAAAGAGGGTTAGTTTCTCTACTGCTACACACCGTACCAAAGATGTATTGGAATATATACATTCTGATTTATGGGGACCAACTAAATTCCAGTCTATGTATTTCTGGGTCTATTTCCTAAAACATAAAAATCAAGCATTTTCTATTTTCAAGAAATGGAAAATACTTGTTGAGACTCAGACAGGTAAAAAAGTCAAGAAGCTCAGGACAGACAATGGTTTGGAGTTCTGTGAGTCAGATTTCAATGACATTTGTGCGGCAAATGGAATCGCTAGGCACAGGACCTTGCCTGGTAAACCCTAGCTGAATGGTGTTGCCGAATGTTTGAACAGGACTCTATTGGAAAGAGCTCGTTGTATGCTCTCTAATGCTGGCTTATGGAAACGACGTGATTTTTGGGCCGAGGCCGTTTCTACTGCTTGCTATTTGGTAAATAGATCTCCACATTCATCCCTTGATTTCAAAATTCCAGAAGAAGTTTGGTAAGGTAATCCTGTTGACTACTCTATCTTAAGAGTTTTTGGATGTCCAGCTTATGCTCATTCCAGTACGGGTAAATTAAACCCGAGAGCTGTCAAATGCATTTTCCTTAGTTATGTTTCTAAATCAAAATGGTATCGTCTATGGTCTCCTGATTATCAGAAAATCATTCTGAGTCGAGATATCACTTTTGATGAAAATGCACTACTTTCTTCTGGAAAAGTTCTCAGTACAGATGACACACAGAGTACTGGTGAAAAGGTGGAGTTTGAGTTCAGGCCTATTCATAGTATTGCTACCACCGATTGTAATACTAAAGATGATGCATCTACTAGCACCGCACCTCTCGTCGAGCCACAACAAGAGTATTCCATTGCTATGGATCGTCCTAGAAGGACAATTAAAAAACCTGCTAGGTATGCTAGTGATTATGAAACCAATATGGTTGCTTATGCTCTTTCAGTCGCATAGGAGGTTGATGGTGATCCATCTTGATATTTTGAAGCTCTTCCTATTGCTAAGTTCAAGCAGTGCTTGAGTTTAGTCGGCTGTTCCAATTGCTAATTCCCACAGTGAATTTGATCCAAGGTGGAGATTGTTAGAAAAATAATATATGTGGCTCAAACCCTAAGTCATCCACAACCTTCGACATTATTGTGCATGTCTTTATTTTTTGCATGCCATCGCGGATTTCTCTGGGACTCCACGTACTGCCGCTATTGCCGCAATATCCTCCCATGTAGCTCTACATGCTCTCACATTATGCAGCATTAGTCTCTCAATCTTTAGTATAAATAGCATTGTTTTCTTTGTAATTAGACACTTCAATTCAATATATTTTGAATTCAGTCATTTGCTTTTCTTAATTCTTCTTCTTTCTTTGTCCCTCACGTAGAATACATATATATATTTGTTTTCGTTTACTCTTTTTGAGGTTAATATATATATTTCTATATTTCTCAATTCAACAATTTCTTATTTCGTCATTTAGATATTTTCCTCTATTATTTAACTTCTATAATTCTCAATTTTCGATTCATTGCTTCCGTATTATTCCGCTATATTCCTAACACATTCTTTTATGGTGTGTTTCATTCTTTGGTATGTTGAAAGTGAGGGGGGCTCCTTGTGCGCAGTAAACAATGGTCTAGCCTCTGTGTTACAATAAATTCAAAAAGCAACTCATACCATATATCAACTAAACAAGTTAAATTTATAGTAATTCTTTAACTCATAAGTTGAACATTATATTTTAGCACCAACAGACTCATAGACAATATCAACACCTTTTGGGAACTCCTCCTCCAGAACCTGGTATAGTAGATCGAACTAAGATAAAGTAGTTTGGGTTGGGGAAATAATGCCTTGCATATACATCAACAGAAAAACCAGATCAGAAGCAACCAGTTTTGTCAACAACTTTTTTGTAAGACGGGAATACGTAATAGAAATCGACATTTCATCCTCTGTATTTAATTGCATTGGATATTAAACTTCTGAATTCTGATGCCATTGTACAATTGTTAATCTTGGTTTTAATGGAAGTCAAGGTTGCTCAAATGGAATTGGGAAAGGTGGTTTGTTGCGCAGGTATACTGTTAAAAGTGCATAAGAATCGTCTAAGACTTAGAAATGAATCTTTAGTCCTGAAAGATGAGTCAACAAATTAAAATCGAAAGAGTTTGAGGTTACCTCTTCGTCTGTTTCGTGAGTCATTAAGCATTCGTTTTCATACTCCAATTCCATCATTTTGTTCACTAGATATAATAATGTCATATCTTCTTTTGAGGTATTGCTTTCGTCATGTAGAATATTCAGACTCACTTATTTCTAGTAGGTCACTTGTTTCATTATATCCTGCTGATCTTGAGGTTGATGATTGATTGCTTACAAGAGTTGCGCTTCTTTCAACATTTTCTTCTTCGATTTTTGCGTTCATTTCGAACACATATGCTTTGAGATCACTGAATAATTTATGAATTGTGAGGGTTCTAAGATCTCTATGATCTCTTATTGCATTCACCTTCATATCCCAACTTGAAGGTAGTCACGCAATATTTTGAGCGAAATTTCCTTCTTGTTGATGTCTTTACCCAAATCATTGATTTCTCCTTCTATCTTTATCAATCTCGCTTCCATGTCGATTATACTATCATTTTAAAGCATTTTGAAATCTTTGAACTTTTTCATGGCGATAGACAGCTTATTGTCTTTTTTTTTTCTTTTTTTTTTGTCGCTTTCTCCAAATTAGATGACTGTTTCTCATATTTCCTTTGCGGTAGTGCACTTTCTATACATTGAATTAATTATTTAAATACAAATATTGGGCATTAAATTAGTCGCACAATGCGCATCAGCGCGTGTAAAAACTAGTAATAATTTTTAAAAATGGTTAAAATTTGTTAGTGTTTTAATTGCTCAAAAAAAACCCCACATATAATTTGCAATACTATTATGGCAAACTAAGATAGGGTTAGTTTAGTGTCAGTTTGTTCTATAGAGGACTGATTGATCAGATACAGCAACAGAGAGGGACTGACACTGAAGATCTGTTTTAGGAAGATGTTTCCTTGATGCAGTACGCGGTTTAAGAAGTCAGATTTGGAAAGAATATCACTGTATCTGCCTTGGAAAGGTATGGACTGAATTTTTAAGATTACATTCTTCATATATCGTCCTACCATCAACAATCAGAGATATCTATGGAGAGTGTTCTTACTATGGAACTATAAGAACTC